TATGTTTCTCACCACTCTTGTAGAGAGGGATTACTTTAGCTACCTTCATATTGTCGGGAAATATCCCATTTGACAATGACAGATTACAGATATAAGTAAATGGTTCAATAACATAACCCATTATTTCCTTTATAAACATCATATCCATATTCAACCAGTCTTTTGATCTTTTGCTTGCAAAATTTGTTACAATATTCATTATTTCTTTATTGTCAGTTTCCTTAAGAAAAATACTGTTGGTACAACTCTTGACTGTATGACTTACATTATTTTCAACCTTTGGTATTTGAGCTGCTAGACACTCTGCAAAAACATCTACATATACTGGCATTAAGATCAGTCCAATGAATTTATGAGATATTTTGCTAACAGACAAACAATCAAACCAATGTTCAGGTAGGCAGCTACGTGATCACCTGCCTTTAATGCTGCAAGGAATAAATAGTCTGAGTGAAGTAACCTCATTATGYTTAAACTTTGTTCTCCAATCTAAGATTCCCAGTCTTGTCAGGAGCGACCCGGGTCCTGCTTCACCCCCCCAGCCATGGACCTCAGCCTGTCACCCCACTCTCACCGTGCCCCCTCCCTCTCCCCATCATCTTCCTCCCCGTCTTCCCCCTGTCCTTCCTCGCCTCTGGAGTGCCCTCAGGACAGCAGCAGCCCTCAGCCACACCTCTTCTCTCGGGTGAGTCGAGCAAAGTAACACTGGCTGCTTGTTTACACTGCAGAAACAACAACAACAACAACATGAGTGCAGTCAGGATTAAAGGCTTTGAATCGCTGCTCTGACAAACAACATACATGGGAAAAAAAGAGAGACAAATTGGATGCAAGTGATTCCTGACTGTGACCTCTGAGATGCTCTCTACGTCCTGTCCTCTTTGTTAGGAAGCAGCTCCTCATCATCACAGCGCTGAAGGTGGGGCTTCTCAGTGCGGCTATCCGTTTTACCTCCCCATCAGGAGCCTGCAGCGGGGCTTCAGCTTTCCCTCCTCCACAATCATCAGTCCGCACCGAGAGAAGCCACTCTCCCCTGTGCCCTCCGCAGATGGTCAGCTGGTCTGCCAATGGAAGAAGGTAGACACAGACGTCAACCTTTGATGTTCACTTCAGTAARCCAGGGATCCCCAAACTCTGTCTACAGAGCCCAAAATTAAAATGTCTTTATTAGAAATAAACAAAAAATATCAGCAGAATAAAACGACAGTGGTGTCTTTTCTGAAATGCAGTGCTTCAGTTGGCCAGCAGATGTTGCTGTTCCTGTTCAGACTGAAGCCTCATACGGCCTCATCTGCCCATCACTAGACTTCAACACACCTGACTATAGAACATGTCATTAACATTCTGAGGAGGTAATTACATCATTTGAATCAGGTGTGTTGGAGCAGGGAAGACGACCAGGGACCACAACAAACGTGCATTAATGCATTTTAAATACCAACTGATGAATCTGAATGCAGTTTTTAAAATTAATTTATTCATTATTTTTTGCATTGTTCAAATATAAGAAAAAAAAGCCTGTGAAATTTCAATCCTAAAGATTGG